GGAGTCTGAGCCCCATGGTGGGTTTAGAGATTACTTAAAAATAAAAAAATAAATCTTTTTTTTTTTTTTTAAGATTTTATTTATTTACTCATGAGAAACACAGAGAGAGAGAGAGGCAGAGACATAGGCAGAGAAAGAACCAGGCTCCATGCAGGGAGCCCAATGTGGGACTTGGTCCCGGGACTCCAGGATCACACCCTGAACTAAAGGCAGATGCTCAACCACTGAGCCACCCAGGTGTCCCCCCAATTTTTTTTAATCTTAAAAAAATATATTATCATTAGTCCTTACAACCTTGTACAATAAACATTTTCAACTTCACTGGACTAGAGAAGTGACTTTTGCGATAGCACACAGTCAGTTACGGAAGCCATGATTATAGACTTAAAAACTCATGCTTGATTACTTGCCACACCACCTCCCTAACACAGATTCCAGAGTAATGTGCATATTAAACTATGGAACGTATATTAACTACGTAATATAATAACGTAATATAATATACGTATATATTAACTTTATGGTTAATGGCCATAAAGACTCTTCAGGCCCCAGGAGTACTGAAGAGGAGAGAGAAATAGACAGAGAAGAGGAAGGAACAAGGAAACTGAGGAAGGCATCAATGGAAGAAATCTGGTTATTCTTGAAAGGAGAAATGGTAGGGAAGTAGGGAAGGCATTTCGGAGAGAATAACAAATACAAATCATCACCACCAAACAATGTTTTTCATCACAGAACACCAATGATTACCTGGAATTGCACTTTTAATTTGTCTTCTTTACTAGAGTGTTCTTTCCATGAGGGCAGGGACCTTGTTCCCTTCCCGCTATACTCTCAGTTTTTGGGACACAGTACACACTTGATTATTTATGGAATGAAGGAATGAATACTAAGTTGAGTTAAACGTGGACGGAGTTTTTCATTGGCAGCAAATCTAAATCATAGTAATATTAATTACTTACCAATGTACCAGAGAGGCCAGTATGTCACATTATAATATGAACTAATCAATTTTCCAGTCCTGAAACAAATTACAAAAAAGGCTTTTCAAAATCTTTAAAAACAAAAAACAAACAACAATAACAAACACCCCAAAGCAAAACAAACACCCAAATCTGTAGAATCGACCAACCATGGCTCTGTAAGTTTCACTTTTTTTTTTTTCTTTTGGCTAATTAACTTACATTTCAGTATATATCATTCCAGCCATAGATACATTTAGGAGTCCCCAGGCTAAAACCACTTTCTTAGCTTCTGTTTCTTTTCTCATCTTGATGGTTCTGTCAATAAGGGAAGCACTAGGATTCGTCTCCCCTTGCATCTATTCAAAAACAAAAAGCACAGGAATTAACGAAAAGAAACCACTTCTCCATTTAGTAAATCAAACTTGTGTCCTTTATCACAGTAACTAAAAACTGCACATTTTCCCATATTTTTAAAATCTTCCCAAAACTGTTTGCATTTTATTATTATCTGAAGAGAGAATGCTAAATTATAACCGTATTGGCACCGTATTGGAATCAACAGAGAACTGGCTCTTCAGAGAACAATACTTCAGTGAATAAAAATGTCTTATCCTGTATGTAAAGGATGGTGACTGTATCTGACCGTATTGTGCTTTTGGCATATGTCACAAGGACTAGCCCAAGGGCTCATTTAAGAAACTCAAAATACGAAGCTTTGGGAGAAATACTCCCTATTAGCTAGAAGCCATTAAAGACTCTCCTCTTACATCTTCACGCAGAGAACATGAACTGTCTACGATCGTCAGCAACTCTGCACTCGGGTCGTCGCAGGCCAGAGACCCCTGTCTGTGTTGCTGACAAAGTGTAAGGATTCAGGTTTTATAAGGGTGAACACGCAAGGTGAAGAGGGTTGACGCGACTGGGGAGTGTGCCGTTTGCGTCCACGTGGGATTTCGATTTCCCTCGTTTCGCGAGGCCTCATCTCAGACAAACAGAAGCCTCCTCCGTATCTGGAGGGGAGTCTTGCAGAGCGCAGAGCAGCACTCTTCCCGCCTCCCGGTCCGCGGGTCCAGCTTCCCAGTCCCGAGAGCTTCCCTCCCTGCGTCTCCCAGCACAAATTTTAGCAGCCCCTATTGCTTTTGTCCTTTCCGCTACAGCTGGTGGGAGGCCTGGCCACACACACCACCCCCTCTGGCTGAACCCCCGACAGATCCACGGTCGCGGAAATCCCACGGCCCGCATGGGCTCCACGTCCAGGAAGCACAAACATGACCCCGAAAACGCACCATGTTCCTCGGCCGGAAGCCGCGGGCTCGCGCCACTCTCTACTGCACATGCGCGAAGCTAAACGGGGAGGTGAAGGCACCCGGCAGGCGGGACTACAGTCACCGGAAGAACGAACCTTCTCGCGAGAAGAGGAGGATGGGGGAGGGACGAGAACTTAGGAGCGTTACCAGGGAGACAGCTTTAGTGTGTGTGGCTCCCGCTCTTCTGCAGCGAGAAGGCTGGGCAGCAGAAATTCAGACCAAGTTCTGAACCCGCAGTAAAAAGTAATAACTGTAACAAGCTGAATTTTTATCTATTAATATAATTTTAGCTTACTTAGCGCACTTATGGACTCACTTTTTTTTTTTAAGATTTTATTTATTCATGATCGATCTAGAGAGAGGCAGAGAGGCAGAGGGAGAGGCAGGCTCCATGCACCGGGAGCCCGACGTGGGACTCGATCCCGGGACTCCAGGGTCGCGCCCTGGGCCAAAGGCGGGCGCCAAACCGCTGAGCCACCCAGGGATCCCATGGACTCACTTTTTAAATTTTTTTTATCATTATTTTTGGACTCACATTTTTAAGCAGATTTTATTATGCAGGGTAGCTAATCGTAAGAGGATGTAAGTAACGTGTCCAGACACCCATCAGCGACGACAAAGCATTTCTTAAAAAAAACAAGTGTTCTGACCTGATGTAAATTCTTAAATATCCTCGTAAAAAGAATGCAGCAGTAAGAAGAAAAATCCCGATATGTTAGAGTTGCTAGTGGTTTCAAGGTTTAAAAAAAATCCAATCGTTACTTTTCTTGCACATTCTTCGGAAGAACTTCTAATCCCGAGGGAAAAGTTCATTGGGGAGCTCGGTTTGGTTTTATTTAACAAATACAAATGCCTACAATGTGCACTCAGGGATGTAAAAGTGCAGCTCCCCGGTTAGGGTGTGGAAGAGCTCAGCAGGCTGATGCACTAGACTGGCAGGAGAGGTGGGGCGCGGGGGTGGGGCCCCGGAGAGGGTGCGATGGGCAGGCTACAGGAGGCCTTCCTGGAGGAGGAGGCGACCTTCCTGGAGGAGGTGACGCAGGCCTAACGCGCAGGGCCAACAGCCACTATGAGCAGGGCGCGGGAACCTGCCATTGGGCACGTGGAGAAACGTTACCCCCATGAAAACATCACGCCTTTTCTCAATGAGCTAGTGGATTGTTACATCATGTACATGTCAGTGACCAAAATTTTTCCTAAAATGCACCTGAGGTCATATAGAAGCAAATTAAATTTCCTCGTGGTATTGCATATTAATGGAATCTGCAGGTATGCTATGCTCTTAAAGACCTAACAGATTTTTTTCTTTTTAAACTGTGATTTTAGGGCACAGCCCTGTTGGCTCAGTGGTTTAGCACTGCCTTCCGCCCAGCGCAGATCCTGAAGACCGGGATAGAGTCCCGCGTTGGGCTCCCTGCATGGAGCCTGCTTCTCCCTCTATGTCTCTGTGCCTCTCTCTCTCTCTCTCCCTCTCTCTCTCTCTGTCTCTCATGAATAAAAAAAAAAAAAACTGTGATTTTAATCATTTTTAGACTGCCTTAGCAGCAGTGGTGTTTTGCTTTAGTTTTAGATTCAGAGATGAACTCGAAAATTGTTCAGAGTTAAAGAATTCAACCTAAAGTCAAAATTAGAATACCACAGGTTCCTCCCCACCTCATGTATCTTTCCAAAGAAACTGTATACATTTGATATCATTTACAACAGACACATCTTTTTTGTTGTTGTTGTTTCTTTAAGTAGGTTCCACACCTAGCGTGGAGCCCAAGCTGGGCCTGAACTCACAACCCTGAGACCAAGACCTGAGCTGAGATAAAGAATCATCTTTATGGCTAACAGACTGAGCCACCCTTGCACCACTACAGCAGACACATCTTTATTTCCTCTCAATATTGTTAAGTTATTGTGCACTTATTGAAGATTTAAAAAGGAACACCATATAGTGTTTTGATATATAACTGGCATTATGTATTAGTTTGCTAGAGTTACCATAAAAAATTCCACAGACTGGGTGGCTTAAACAACAAAAATTTATTTTTTCACAATTTTACAGGTTAGAAGTCGAAGATCAAGGCACCAGTAGAATTGGTTCCTCCTGAAGCCTCTTTCCTTGGCTTGAAGATGGCCTTCTTCTATGTCTTCACCTGGCCTTCTATTTTGTGTCCACACACCCCTGCAGTGTTTCTTCCTCTTCTTATAAGGACATCAGTCATATTGGATTACGGCTCTATCTTTATGACCTCTTTAACCTTAAGTATCTTTTTAAAGGCTTTATCTCCGGTGACAGTTAAGTTGGGGGTTATTCAATATTCATATGAATTTGGGGGAACACAATTCAGTCTATAACACGTTAGACATGTGCAGGTTAATTTACAGTGATATAATAAATACAAAAGAGACTGAAAAAAGATGAATGGAGACCTCAGAGACTTAGATTTTACAGACATTAAATTTTAAAGGAAATACAGTATATACAAGTTTAATAAAAAAAATCAAGATAGAATTCACCCTATTGATGTAAATGGGGGAAATACCATAAACTGTCATAGAAATAATTTATATAAATCTTCCCAAAACTTAGAAATCCAATAAGTGTTTGTCAGCTCCTGTCACAGTTACTGAAGCGTGTCACAATAGGTTGCCAAGGAAATTGTCATACACACAGAGTGAAGTACTCCCCAGTCATCTTCATTCCTTTGAGCATGCTTTATTTTCAAAGCAAGAAGCCATCATGGGAGACCTTTTTTCCTTATTTTGGGAGGTAGATCCTCCCCCCATGCCTTTAAGTTTCACCATTCCAAATCAGGATTATGAATGCCGGAAGGATGACTCTTGCGGGGCCATAGGGAGTTTCCTGCTTTGGTATTTTATCATTATATTGGTCCTGCTGTTCTTTTCTCGGGCTTCTGTCTGGGTAGGATATCCTATTTCATTTAAAATGATATGTATATTGTATCATAAGGGGTTTTCCATGAAATAAATTGTCTTTACTTTGATCAAAATACTTTTTAAAAGTTTGTTTTCTAGTTTTAAAAATAATGCAGTCTTGTTCTAGGGCGTCCAAAAATACAGAAAGGGATGAAGAAGGAAATTTAAACTACTATAATCCTATTTCCTAGAGATAATCATTGTTATATTCTAATTTTTTTGGAGTATATTCTAATTTTTTTTCTTATTCTTAGAATATTTTCCCTCCATCTCTCTTTGATATTATCGTTAGAATTGTACATATTTTCATAAACTTAATATTATACTGTAACACTTCCTCAAATCATATTCACACAGCAGCACTCTTAATGACTGCATAAATTTGTCTTGTGGTTGCACCATAAAAAATCTGCAATTCTGAGACATTCAGGTTGTTTGCAGTTTGTCCATAGGCTATGTAATGTTAGGATAAACTTCCCTACTGGTTAATGACCTCCAAATTCCTTTGTAGCCATGTAATTCTAATCAAAGATACAAAAGTTGTCATATTTATAAAATACATGCTGTAGGATTCAGGAGCTTTTAGGATGAGGCAATGTACTCTCCTGAAAGATAAGATGCAGAACTAAACTAAACTAAGCAAAAGTCACCACACTAGACCACCTACTAGCAGAAGAAAATACCATCCTCTTAGGAATGAGATAGCCCAGTTTTTCAGGACTATGACTCTCCAACATATTATGAGCAACCGAGGTCTTCTAAATTGCTGACATGGAGTTCTTGCTGGCCATTAATACCAGGCTGATGATTAATCAAACCACCATTATTTGGCATTACAGCCAGAGCGCTGGGCTGGCAATGGCCAGCTAGACTGCTGCATCAGCTCTAGATGAAGAGGAGGAGGTTTGTTAAGTCTATGCCGGCTGGATTCCATTATAATAATCAAAGACTCTTCCCCTCACCACCTCTTCCCACTAAAGAAGTTCCCTCTAAAGTCTAAATGCTTCTTAAATTAGATACTTTGCCAAAAGGATATTTAGAATAGTGATCGCGTATGTGTGTCCTAGACTCCCTAGCTAAGTATATTGAATTTGTCTGGGTTGGCCAGAAAAGCTACTTTAGAAAATTAACAAAAAATTGAAATTGATTCCTGGCAATTTCATCATGAAGACTACTTAAGAGGTCTAAACTATTCTTCTACCCCTTTGCTTGCATCAGCTTTTTGGAATCTCAGAGCCTGAGCTTCAAGGACCTAAGGAGAGCATGCGGTCCAGCTTCCTTTTTGTAGGGAGTAAGATACCAGTATCCTTCCTTTTTTTTTTTTTTTAAATTGATAAGGCCCAAGAAAATTAAGTGACTTGTCCAATGTCACACACAAGTGGTTAGTGTTGGAGGAGAAATAGACCCAGGTTTCCTGCCATGTAATTCGTTTCCTTCAAAGCATAGTTGAAATGTTGAATTAAATCTATTCAGGGCTGATTAAAACCCTAATTATCTTAGAGGTTTTGTCTTTCACTCTGTACCTCTATGGCAGTTAGAATTGGCTGAGCTGCTTCTTGTGAAAGGTCCCAGATTTGAAATCTGAGAACCATAAGAGAGCTAGTCAAGGATAGAATTTTTCTTTCACTTTGATCTTCATTTTCTCTGCAAAACTATGAGCCTTTATTTACAAACCTTGAAGTAATGGTAAAAGCGTGATGGAAATGTGGTGGTAATTATACTCAAATGCGAAGCACACTGATTTCCTTAGGATTTGCCACTCTTTAAGTTGCATTTACCCTTTTGCTTTCAGACACTATAAATACTATATTTAGTTTATGTATTTGTTTAGTATTTATTCAGACTGCTAGTGCTGGGTTTTTTTTTCCAAACAATACCAGTCCTAGCATCTCATTTTGTATATGTGGAAACTGAACTTAGGTGTTAAGTGAATTGGTAAAATTGCAGAGTTGTCCAAGACCAGAAACGCAGAGCCATAGCCCAATTCTCTGCATGGTTCTACCCTACTCTTCAGGCGGGCACTGCTGATGTTTTCACTCACTGAGTCACACACAGTTAATAAAATGCTTTTGGTACCACAGTTCATGTGATTCCACTTAGCTTGATGCAAAATCTTTCTTCTTTTTTTTTCAAAATCTTTCTTTTGATTTTGTGATTGTATTTTGATTTGACATCAGGTAAAAATGGAAGATTTCTATAAAAATGATGTAAACGTAATCCATGTTTTTAAACATTTCTCCCTGTCCATTACAAAAGTATATATTATGGAAAACATTGAAATTATAGAAAAGTACAAAAAACCCACTCCAGACTACATGGAAATAACCAACTGCTATGAACTTCTAGGTTTATAAACTTCTAATCATTTAATAATTATCTCTATACATATTAAATTTAAAATAAACCCTCCCCATCATTCTTAAAAGAGATATCTCAAAAGAGGATTCCACTCTTAAGGTTTCCAGAGAATGGTTACAGTGACGCAAAAAGTAGAGATACCTTCTTAAAGATACTTGCCTGCTGTTATAGAGATCATATATTAAGAAAGTAATGGGTCAAGAATCCTGGATTGTAGTTATGAATACCCAAGTATGACACTTTCAACCTGAAGGAAGTTTGACTTTCTACAAAAATTCATTTTCTCCCCTATTGTAGACAACTTGAAAAGTTAAAAAAATATCACTGTTTCACTCAAAGTAAGAACGAACACTTGTGTTCATTGCTTAAATTCTTTTCATATTTTTAGCTAACTTGTGATTATACTGCATATACAAATTTGCATCTTGATTTTTAACTTAATATTATAACATGTATTTCCTCGTGTTGAGACATGCTTTTATTATAATAATTTTTACAACTATAAATTATGATTATACTATAATTTATTTAACCATTGGCTGCTATTGAATTTTGAATTTTATATTATCCTAATTATACTGTGATAATTTTTGTGCACAAAGTTTTCTCTCTTTGGAGGGGTTATTTCCTGGTGATAGATTCCAAGTAAAAATTGTTATGCATCAAAAATGTAACAAGTATTTCTAAAGTTTTGGTACATTCTGAAAGAGTTGCTTTATATTTATATTTTAGCCAAATCATGTTCAGCATCAAAAAATGGGAGACTGGGGCAGCCTGGGTGGCTCAGTGGTTTAGAGCCTGCCTTTATTTCGCCCAGGGTGTGATCCTGGAGACCTGGGATCGAGTCCCACATCCGGCTGCCTGCATGGAGCCTGCTTCTCCCTCTGCCTGTGTCCCTGTCCCCCTCTCTCTCTGTGTCTCTCATGAATAAATTAAAAAAAAAAATTTTTTTTTTAAATGGGACACTGGAGGCTCCTGAGTGGCTTAGTTGGAAGCATCTGCCTCCAGCTCAGGTCATGATCCCGGGGTCCTGGGACTGAGCCCCACATCAGGCTCTCTGCTCAGTGGGGAGCCCGCTTCTCCCTCTCCCTCTGCCTGCTGCTCTCCCTGCTTGTGTGCTCTCCCCGTCTCCTGTCAAAAAAAAAAAATCTTAAAAAATAAATAGGACACTGATCTGAACAATGGGATAAATTTATTTATGGAGTATTGGGCTAGGATATTTGAAATTAGAACTATTCAAATAGATCCACTTCTTTTTTGTTGCCAAATTAAACAGGTAAAATGTTATGTTTGCATTTTGGAGGAAAGTTTCTGAAGGACTCAGGAGATATTAAGTTTGTAAATTCTGGTAAAGATCTTCAAGGATTATTTTATTTTATTTTTATTTTACTTATTTTTTTAAAACAGATTTTATTTATTTATTAATGAGAGATACAGAGAGAGAGAGGCAGAGACACAAGCAGAAGGAGAAGCAGGCTCCAGGCAGGGAGCCCGATGTGGGACTCAATCCCAGGTCTCCAGGATCACGCCCTGGGCTGAAGGCGGCGCTAAACCGCTGAGCCACCGGGCTGCCCTTCAAGGATTATTTTTAAAGTGACCTGATAAAATATCCTTTACAAAGTAATTTAAAATGAATCCCAGTACTATCAAATCTGTTCTTAAATGATATTTAAATGATATTTCTTTACAATGTGAGTACAGGAAAACTTTACAAGCTATAGATCCTTATCACTATTATTTTCTCTCAAGTCTTTGTTCCATTTGGTTTGGTTCAAAACATTTTGGCAGACTGTGCTATTAAAGCCTGGTCCTTTGGCCTCCCTGCGTGGAGCCTGCTTCTCCCTCTGCCTGTGTCTCTGCCTCTCTCTTTCTCTCTCTGTCTCTGTGTCTCTCATGAATAAATAAATAAATTAATTAATTAAAAAAAAAAAGCCTGGTCTTCCAGTGAGCAGCAGAAGAGAGGATCACTATAACAGGAACTCAATAAAAATTTATTGAATTGCCCTGAACGTTTAAAATTAGACATTGTCTAAGAGTCTAGGGCAACAGTGTTTTATAAGTAAATGTAAGTGAAAAACAACCAACAGAGATTGCTGTTACTAATCTGTATTTCTGAAACAGATGTCAGAGAAGAAAAAAGATGAAGACAGTGGGACCAGCACATCAGTCAGTAAAGGTGAGAGCTGGTGCATATTTGATATTGGACTATGATGAGAGAAATATATGCTGAATGTAGAAAGCAAACAACAGAGGTGAACAGCCCAGAGTGGTTATAGGGACTCCCCAGATCAGTGATGGCTCTTGGATGGGCTCCCTGCTTTAGCATAGGATAGCTTAGCTGCTTTTGCAGAGCTGTTAGAGGCCACAAGTTAGTAGTAGGGTAGAGCTCAAGCTCTTTTCATTCCTCAGCATGCTTCCTTCATATAGCTTGCCTTTTACTTTTTTAAAAGATTTTATCTATTTATTAATGAAGAAGAGAGAGAGGTAGACACACAGGCAGAGGGAGAAGCAGGCTCCATGCAGGGAGCCCGATGTGGGACTCGATCCTGGGTCTCCAGGATCAGGCCCTGGGCTGGAGGCGGCTCTAAACCACTGAACCACCCGGTCTGCCCATAGCTTGCCTTTTAAATACCTTTATTGTTAGTGTTGCTACAGGATTGTGAGCTTTATATGACATCTTTTTAATACCTATAAGCAGTGCTGCTAAATGTTTAAAACTGGCTCTCCAAAAATGTACATGTGTACATACATGTTTTTTAAAAAATGTTGTTGAGGGCGTCCCGGGTGGTGCAGTGGTTTAGCACAGCCTGCAGCTCAGGGTGTGATCCTGCAGTCCCAGGATAGAGTCCCACATGGGGCTCCCTGCGTGGAGTCGGCTTCTCCCTCTGCCTGTGTCTCTGCCTCTCTCTCTCTGTCTCTCATGAATAAATAAATAAAATCTTTAAAAAAAATGTTGATATAAAGGATGTATATCACACAATTTACAGGTAATAAAATACATAATACACTTTATGGCACATTCTATGTAGACTGCCAGTTTTGGCAAAATACTTCCCTTAATTTTTGCCAGACCCTTGCATTCTTAGCCAACCTATGGCGGCAATGGATGAATGAGTGTTATCCAATATGAATGTCAAGGAGTAAGGGGAAAGATGCAGGAAAATGTTTGCTACAACTTAACTTGGTTGTCAATGATGTGACTTCTTTGCTGAATTGGATAATAGTTTTAGAATACTCTGGAAGAACATTTCCTTGTTTTTGGGTGCTATTCACAATGTAGTGGCTACAGGAGGACACTTTTACATATAATCTGTTAGTAACATGTTCTTTATCATTTTAAGCCTAGACAATCAACAAGACCATACACAAGACCTGATTTTTAGTGCTCGTTGATTTTTTTTTATTCCACTCACACTGATTTCAAATTACCAACATGATGTTACTGAAGTGGAGTTGGGAAGAGACGCACAGTAGCACACCATTACATAGCATTTCCAATATCCAGATACAACAGATGTAAATAGCTTCAAGAGCTATTTCTTAATAAAATATAATAAAATAATTAGGAAGTGATTAGTTTTGAACATTTATGTGTAATAAATGGATTCAATGGTAAGTTTGTATACTATAATTTTGACTAATGGCTATGTTTTAACAACCATGTCACAGAATTCCTGTAAGTTTAACCATCTGTTCTTGTGAGCTAGTTGGTAGAAGACAACTCCAGCACACTACTGTATAAAGAAAGGATCCTTTTTAGTTTCCTGCTACCCAAATGACATTCACATACATACTTGAGTCTGTAAGACTTCAAGGCAAGGGAAAAAAGGGTCTATCTGAAAAAGCTTGGCGACCTTTCCCTTGATCTTATACCAGGGGGTCCACAAAGCTTCAAAAGCAACGTGTCAAGCATCTATTTGACCCTTCTGGTCTTTTTTTTTTTTTTTTTAAAGATTTTATTTATTTATTCATGAGAGAAACAGAGAGAGAGAGAGGCAGAAACGCAGGCAGAGGGAGAAAGAGGCTCCATGCAGGGAGCCCAACGTGGGACTCGATCCCAGGTCACCAGGATCACACCCTAGGCCAAATGCGGCACTAAACTGCTGAGTCACCGGGCCGCCCAACCCTTCTGGTCTTTAGGAGATTTGGTGTCATACTGGAAAATGCGCAGCCGCCAACACTTGCAAATGAGTAGAGAAAATTGGGCTTGCCGAATGGCAACGGACAGTGAGTCCATACATGCCATAGGCCTCCTTAGGTAATACGAAGTTACAGTAACCAATGATATGCCTAACATCTTGATTTGTTTCATTGGTTGTTAGCAAGCAAAGATACTTCCTATAAGCGGCAAAGCAAAGATGGTGACTGGGACCCTTTACAAATGATGAAAAAAACAAAGCAGAACCAACTTACTCCTGTAACTGATTCAGAAGTGGCTTTGGTCAATGCCTATCTTGAACAAAGACGAGCCAGGCGCCATTCTCAGTTCAGCCAGGTGAATCAGATCCAACATGATAGTGATACTACTGAGTGTGACAGTGAAGAATCTAACTCAGGAGCCTCCTCATGGAAGGAGAGTGAAAGTGAACACCATCCGTCACCAGCGAGTATTAGGAAGAGAAAACTAGCTCAGAGGCAAAGGAATGTGGGAAGTTACCAAATCAGGGAAAGGCCCTGCCTCCACTGCAAAGCCATGAGAACCAATGAATGGCTGACCCGCCATTTCCTTCAAAATGCTTCAGTAACAACCCACATGAAGGCAGATATTCAAGAGGAAAATTGTGTACCTGAAATTAACACAAAATTCAGTAAATTTTGAGTTTTATCAAGTCCTTACTTGCAGCCAGATGAAAGAGATGAATAAAACACTCAAAAAAATCACCATAGCTCTAGGTGCAGAGGCTTTTACAATAAAGTTTATCTACTAACAACAAAAACATACTTGGAACCCAAGAGGTAAAATTTCAGATAATCCTTTGTCCAAAAACAGGCCAGTGAATTTGTTTATGGCACCATTGGAACATCAAAGATCTGCTTCTACTATGATTTTTTAATTCAAAAGAGCACAAGACATATTTTATTCCTTGAGTGTACGTATTTTGTTTATGTCTGTAATACAAATAAGGAAGCTCTTTGAAAATATATTTATATCCAGAAACCATTAAATTTATTTGTATGTTTTGATTGATTGACTGACTGGATGAATTAGGTGACGTTGGTTGGCATGGAATGGACCATATTCTCCAGGTCCATATTTTCAGGTGACTCTGTCTGAGCTGTATTGCTACATGCGTGTCAGCTACAGTTGGTGAGGAGAAAGAACTCAAGAGCCTGAAAACAAAACCCTGATTTCCAGAGTAGAGCAAGGAGGGAAGGCAGTGTGGCCCAGGGTGTTATTGGGCTGTGGACTGTCCACATGGTTATTGTCCAAAGGGCATGACAAATGTTAAAGAAAAAATTATTGTGATACTTGTTAAATATGGTAGGGGAGACTTTATTTAAGACAACTGTAAAAAAAAAAAGACAACTGTAGTGCTCGCTTTGGCAGCATATATACTAAAATTGGAACAATGGAAGATTAGCATGGCCCCAGTGCAAAGCTGACACACAAATTCATGAAGTGCTCCATATTTTTCAAATAGTCAGAGAAAGACAAATACTGTATAATCTCACTTATATGTAATCTCAAAGAGCCAAACACATAAACAGAATACAATGGTGGTTGCCAGGGGTTGGGCTATGGCAAATGAGATGTTGGTCAAAGTGTCCAAACTTTCAGCTGTAAGACGAATAAGTTTTGGGTAATCTAATGTATAGCGTGGTGACTCTAGTTAATACTGTTACAATTACATAGTTGAAAGTTGCTAAGAGTAAATCTAAAATGTTCTCACCACACACCACAAAGTGGTAGTCATGTGAGGTGGTGGACGTGCTAACTAATCTTATTGTGGTAATCTTTCACAATATATATGCGTATCAAATTATCACATCGTACACCTTTGCCTTATACAATAAAGTTGGGATTAAAAAAATTAAAAAAATTAAGTTGGGATTATATCTCAATAAGGTTGAGATTGAAGAAAAAAAATAACTATGCCACAAGGTGCTATGAAAGAAAATAAATCTACCAACCCTTGCTTGAAAAGAAAAAGACTATTGTAATAGGGGTCAAATCTATTGCAATAGGGGAGAAAAATCAAGCTCAACCCCAAATACAGCAAGGACAAGTTGTGATTTATAGCCAAGGAGCAGGTAAGGGAGTCAGTGAATGGAAAATCACTAAGATGAGACATCAAGGTAGGGGGATTCCTGCTAAACTGATCTAACAGGATTCTTGCTAAAGGCAACCAAGGACTCAGACATCAAGGATAGAAGATGAAGACCTTGATCAGATATCAACGGTGGGGGCTCTTACTAGACTTACTTAGCAGAATTCTTTTTTTTTTTAATTTTAATTTATTTATGATAGTCACAGAGAGAGAGAGAGAGAGGCAGAGACACAGGCAGAGGGAGAAGCAGAATCCATGCACCGGGAGCCCGATGTGGGATTCGATCCTGGGTCTCCAGGATCGCGCCCTGGGCCAAGGCAGGTGCCAAACCGCTGCACCACCCAGGGATCCCACTTAGCAGAATTCTTAATAAATCTGGTCTGGACACCAAAGTTGAGATCTGGTCTTGAAGAGGACTCAGAGGAACCTAACTAATGCTAGGTCAGAGAGTTATCAAAAGTTAGCCTCATTCTAGACACACATGGGGTTGGGCTTTTCAGGTTAAGTAGGAACCTGAGCAGTGGGGTACTCAAGCAGGCCTTAGTAGATTAGGTGGGTGGCCATTCTGGAGACCATTCTCTGGATGGATAGCAGGACCCCAGCTGGGATAGAAAAGAAGGCTCTGATTCCAGAGAAGAGGGCTGGCTTGCAAGGAGAACATAAATACAGGGACTGTAGTGACAGGGCTAGAGTTCAAAGAAGGGCTCAAGTCTTGGGGAAAGACTTGGGTATTATAAATAGGATAAAGACTGCAGCCTGATAATAAGGACTAAGCCTATCATGACTCACTGACAGAGACCACAGGTTATGACTTTGGGCTCAGGAGTTAACTCCTGCTAATAGTAGCTTTCTTAACTGATTACAACAAAGGGAACTGGCGGGTAGTGTGGGAACCCTGGCCACTGGAACTAGGCCACTAGAATCTAGGACACAGGGTTACATTTCTGAGCTTATTTGTGGAGACTGTCTTGTTCAGAATGCCTGAGTATTGGAACCTGTCTGAAGCCATGAGCAAAAAGGAAGAATTCAAGAGTTACCTCAAGCATCAGCGTTTTCCATGAAAACTTCCCCTACTCCTTGACAACTCCTTGACACCCTCCTCAACTTTCCTCCCTCAGGCAGAACTCACTATGACCTCCCTTATGTCCCAGTATACCTTGAGACATCCTCAGTGTGCCTAGGTGGCTCAGTCAGTTAAGCATCTAACTTGACTTTGGTTCAGGTCATGATCTCAGGGTCATGAGATCGAGCTCCGAGTTGGGCTCCATGCTGGGCATAGAGCCTGCTTAGGATTCTGTCTCCCTTTCTCTAAAACAACAACAACAACAACAATTCTCTGTCTCAGCATCCTTAACATTTTTTTCCCCAAAGATTTATATATTTTAGAAAGAAAGAGAGAATGGGGGAGAGGCAGAGGGGGAGAGGCACAGAGGGAGAGGAAGAGAGAATCATAAGCAGACTCAGTACTGCGTGTGAAGCCCAGTGTGTGGCTCAATCAGGAGCACCTTAACATTTTTTTTTAATTTTTATTTATTTATGATAGTCACACAGAATGAGAGAGAGAGGCAGAGACACAGGCAGAGGGAGAAGCAGGCTCCATGCACCGGGAGCCCGACGTGGGATTCGATCCCGGGTCTCCAGGATCGTGCCCCGGGCCAAAGGCAGGCGCTAAACCGCTGCGCCACCCAGGGATCCCAGCACCTTAACATTTTAACAAATTGATTTGTTTGCATGTCTCTCTGTCCCCTATATATATTTATCCACCTTTATTTTTTATTTTTTTTTAAAGATTTATTTTTTATTCATGTGAGACACAGAGACAGAGAGAGAGAGGCAGAGACATAGGCAGATGGAGAAACAATCTCTATGCAGGCAGCCCGATGCGGGACTCAATCCCAGGACTCCAGGATAACGTCCTGGGCCAAAGGCAGATGCTAAACCACTGAGCCACCTAGGGATCCCCATTTATCCACCTTTAAAGGCAGAGTCCATCTGGTGCCTAGGTGGCTTAGTAGGTTAAACATCTGACTCTTGATTTCAGCTTAGGTCATGAGCTCAGTGTTGTGAGATGGAGGCCCAAGACGGTGTGGCACTGAATGTGGAGTCTGCTTAAGATACTCTTTCTTCCTCACCCTCTGCCCCTCCTCACCTCCCACCCCTACTTGCCTGCTCTCTCTCAGTCATCGATAAGTGAATCAATACAGAGTCCATGATTTGTCATCTTTGTATCTCTGTGATCCAGCACAGTGCCAGAGAACATGACAGATAAATAATGCAGTTAAATAAGTGCAGAAGGGGATTCCTGAACACAACAGGGAGAAGCTGAGGAAAGTAGAGAGCAGGACAGGGGCCAGGGTCTAACACATAGTGAATGATTCTGATATTTCTAAGTTGATATGATCAAGCTGCTTGTTGTTTATCCAAATAGCACCAAAACAAAAACTCAAACTCAAAAAACAAAACAAAAGAAAACAAAACAAAAACAAGCTCAATTATAGTAGCAAGTTGCAGGGACAGGATTTAGGCCTACACTGTCTGGCTTCAGAGTTTGGGCTCTTAATTGCAATGAGTTTAGCCATTATTCTCTGAAGATGAAAGATCCTGATTTCCAGGTAAGTCAATCACCACCTCTCCCACAGGCCTAGGCCATGTCCAAGCAGATATATTCTCTCCAGGAAAAGGAGGGTGAGGACTATTTTCCAGATAACAGAGTAAGGACACAAGTGTTTTGTTGGTGGGTCTAGAATGTAAACTAATGACAACATTATCTGAAGAGTTATATCAAAGACTGCTACTTTTCTTGTCTGTGGGGCTGGACCAGATTGAGGAGGTAGGAGATAGTGGGGGTGGGGGGTGGGGGGTGGGGTAATGGTGGTAGAAGAAAGAATCAAGATTGAGTTAAGCCAGGGGCTAACAATGTGAGGAGATCAGGGTGATCCATGAATACAGTAAAGCAAAACAGAGGCCAAACATAGCTGGGAGGACATCCAAAGCCAAGGAGAGAGATGCAGGGAACCAATGGAATGAGGCAAGGACATGGTAGGGGAGGAACAAGAGCATAGCCAGGCACTTTGGAACTGGATTAATGAGCCAGGAACAGTATCTGTGAGGCAGCAGATGGTTCAGGAAACCAGGGTTGCAAACACTAGTCGTTACTGGGGGTTGCCTTGTATGCTAAGCCTGGTATGAGCCGTCAGGATGGGGTCCCTGGGCTGCTCTACATTCCCTTCTTCAGTGCCCCCACCCCCTTGCTGCATGGGATAAAGTAGATTGCCTCTGGTTTTCATGGTAGAAGGTGGTCACTTGTTGGGGTTGCTCGCTTGGAGGCATGGAATTCTTGGGATTGCCTCCTATCCCTTCATACAGGTAGATGATCAGAACTGACCCCTGTCCACTTACATCAGGCATCATAATTCTGGTCAAGAACTTCTACGCAGAGAACTTTGGGATGGAAGCAAGGGTCTAAGCGAGATGCATGTAGGGAGGTATTTAGAGAGGGGGTAGGGGATGGGGAACAGGAACTGTGTCTACAAGGTACGAAGCTTCAAACTCTGAACCAGTACCTGTCCTCCAGGACAGGGTGGTGTGGTTTTGGTGGGAGAAGAGATGAACCAGTAGGTTAAATCTAAGCCAATAAGAATAGCAACAAAAATACTGATAATAGGTAACGTTTAGAGAATGGTTGTTATGTGCCAGGCACTGAAGTAAGCATTTTATAAGGATTAATTATCCTTCACCAGCCTGCAAAATAGATATTTTCCCAATTTTGCAGATAATGAAACTGAGATTCAGGGAAATTCAATGACATGTCCAGGGTCACACAGCTGGTGAGCATGGGGGAGGTGGGTCTTGCCATGAAGATTATGTTTTTTTTTTAAGATTTATTTATTATTCATTCATGATAGACAGAGAGAGAGAGAGAGAGAGAGAGAGAGAGAGAGCAGCAGAGACACAGGCAGAGGGAGAAGCAGGCTCCAGCCTGATGCGGAACTCGATCCTGGGATTCCAGGATCGCGCCCCGGGCCAAAGGCAGGCGCCAAACCGCCGAGCCACCCAGGGATCCCCGAAGATTATGTTTTTACCATGATGATAATATGTTATCCATGTTCTTGATGGAGAGCAATTAGGCAAGAACTTGGGAGATCCAAATTCCAAACTGAGTCCAGAGACCAGAGAAAGACTGTTAATGGAAAATGGAGCCAAGAATCAGAGATGGGAGCAGTTAAGTTGGGGAGGGTCCCCACTGTTGAGTGGAGAGGCATTATAGAATCAGCTCACCTCATCTGCGGTGGTGAGCTTGGCCAACATATAGATAGATCAGGTGGGAACTCGGGCGTCTTTTGAAGTAAAGATGTATTGGAGGACA